TGGGCAATATTATGAGAATTTATTTGTTGAATAATTTAATTTCTAGACGTACAATTATTAATTAAACTTTCAGAGCGTGATCATAATACACAAATGTGTGTACATTCCAAAGCACAAGTCTCTAGTACTTGAAATAAGTTTTTTTACAAATTGAGGACGAAGGGGCCGTGGTGTCCAAAGTCTGTAAATTACAAAAACTTCGTATTTATATACATATATACGCAGTAAATAATTGTATTTTTATTGGGCTGAAATAAAAAAGAAAATAAATTTATCGATCATTCTCGATTAAAGAAATCGGATAAGTTATCGAAAAAATATGATAAACTCTTACTGCGTATAGTCACTGACCAGAGAACACATAGACTAGACATGTGTTCTCTGGTCAGTGGTATAGTATAATACATGAGGTTTAAGTGTTAACTTAAAAAGCGACTTACGTTTTTTGTAACGTGCGAGCCTCTTGGTTTTTATACCCTCAACCCATCGAATGTGGGAAATCAGGGTATAATGGTTGTGTTAAATGTATGTAACAGGCAGAAAGAGGCGAGCCAGACCCCACAAAGTATATATATTGGTCAAGAATAGGCCGACGAGATTTAGTCGATTGTCTGTCTGCCTGACCGTATGCTTGAACGCGTCGATCCCAAAAGATATAAGAGCTAGAGACTTGAAATTTTTTCCTAGGCCCGTGTATTGTAAACTTGTCCCGTTATTTTTTCATCAATTAAAACATTAAATACATTATATATTATTTTTAGAACTAGCAAAATTTTAAATGTAGATTCACATGTACTGTATTTACCCTCAACATACTCTGCGGCCAATGCGTGTTTATTCGTGTGAGTGAGTATGTGTCTGCATGTGCGAATAATTATTGAGATATCAGTTGTTCGAAGGGTTCAGGGGATCTCGTAGTCGAGCAGCCTAGACTACAGTTTTTTAACTTGTTTGTAAATGTTTTGAAAACGAACTCTTGCCTAAAATCATAATTAGCATACAATATAGAGCTAATCAATGGCTAATTCACTATTTGTTAAAATAAAACAAGTAAAAAAAAGACTCTAGTCGAGACTGCTCGACTAGGATATACCCTGAACTCTACAATCTGATATTCTAAGCACTCTGCACTCCTTTTAGGCACACATACATACACACGCACGTATTAGAACGCGCTTTGCTAGCTGCGCAGTAGCCAGCGATTGCCCTTGGGTTGCGCTGCATTGTTGGCAATATTATGAGAATTTTTTGTTGAATAATTTACAATCTTAATGAAACTTTCAGAACGTAATCATAATGTTTAAATGTGTGTACATTCCGAAGCACAAGTCTCTAGTACTTGAAATACGCCTTTTTCAAACATGAGGGTGAGGGGGTGGATATAGGTGCGGGGTCTACCACGCCTCCTTCTGCCTGTTACATGCATTTTCACAAAACCATTATACCCTGATTTCCCATTTTCAATCTGTTTTTATCGATTCTGATGCGGTTAAACTGACGCAGCTCCAAATTGGACTTTAACTTGTGTTTTGACAGATATGTATATACATTTGAATACTTTTATCATGTTCTGAAAGTTTGATGAACAAAAGTATCATTGAAAGATTGTAGTATCAGATCTTTACAGGCTTCAGCATATCTCCTACTCTCTTCCTTGATTTTCTGCAGTTTGGGCCATGGTATCCATGTCTTTTGGCTGTGTACCTTAGAATCCAAAAATGGTGTACAATTTACAATGTAGTTTACCTCGCTTTTGAATCTCATCTCTGGTTATCTGACTTGAGAGATTCGTTGGTACTGCTGTAGGCGTTGGGGGCAATGTTAAGTGCGCCGTCGTTGTATTTCCCGGATACCATGCCCAGCCGCCTGATTGTCCATTGAACATTCTTAGCTTTTCATAGACAGATTCGTTTTGTTGTTGTGCCTGCTGCTCCTTCTGCGAGGCCAAATTACGCAGCACCCGATTAATAGATGAAACCTGCAATTAAAGGCAAAATAGCAAAAAGGGACATACTTCGCTTAAATTAGAAATCCATGTAAAAAGTAATTCCGCTGAGTGCGTGTTTGCACGTGTGTGTGTACTTTTCTGTATATGCGTGCTCGTCATTTGCTTAAGTGTAGTGGCATGTAGCGTCATTTCCTACCCCCGACATACTAGATTGCAATGCCAGACGCTGCCATTGGCTATGAGTTACAGCCAATCAGACGCAGCTGTGTGAGAGCGGGATAGCAGCAGTGTACATTGTATACGCATGTTAAACCATTTTTACAAATACGACTTATACACACACACATGGAAATAGCAGTTTGTTACGTTCTACGCATGCATGTATACATATATGTATGTATATGTGTAGGCGTATGTATGAATACGTATATGCATATGTATTCGCCTAAGGACCTTTCTCGCAACAAGGATCACGGCAGCTGATGCATTTAAACCTATTTACTGAACATACTGAAATAGACCGTATATAATGTATTTGTTGTTTTCATTCCATCCAATTCAAATGCCGTCGGAAAGAAATGAAGATGAGTAACTTCTCTATGAGTGGACTACAAATTATATATATGGGCGTGGCAAATTGAGCAAACTTAAGTTGAATCGCACGTTTGGTTTTCACTACAGATGATAGTAAAGTTACAAAATCAACAAAAATATTTTATGTTTATCTTTAATGAAGAGGCAAGATCTGAAAAGGTGGTCTTGTGTCAGAGTATCGTTGAATCCATAGAGTCTAGAGCCTTGGACCCCCATAACGCTAGCTTAGCTTAAATATTGGCATTATAAAGAGCAAACCTTTGATGTCTTTTGATCTCTTTATGTGACAAACACAAAAAGTCGTGAAATTCATTGTATAACCGCCAGCAATGTCAACGAGAGGCATAAGCACTCAAATGCAAAGAAATGCCGACTCCAAATGCTCCAGACACGTGGCGACACTTAAAAAGGACCAAAGTGCGGCTAACCATGTTCCGATTAATGACAGGCATACAAAACTGCAGCACTGGCTCTCTTCCCCTGCCTTATCCGCCCTCAAATATTCATATTTGTATGTGTATGTGTATAAAATATAAAAAGTATGTATAACATATGTAGACAATTGATATATGTATATGTATATTGCCTGAAGGCCCTTGTTGCTCTAGCTTTAAACTTTGTTATTTAGAATTAATTATTTGTAACAAATAAATAAATCAATAAATAAATAAATATAATACATAACCAATTACAATCATGGAGAGGTTGGGAGGACATCTATTAAAATACAATTTTGCTTCGTAAGCATTTACGCATACATATGCAGGTAAGTGTGCCTATTACAGAACTGACTACAAACAGTTTATTTCAATCGATTATTTTATTTCCTTAAATTAAAGGAACTCTAATATGTTCTGAAATCGCCTCGTTCATGGTTATAAATTTCGGCATTCGTAATTCTTACTTGTGTCAGTCTCCTTTAATATGAAAACCTTTGTATGAGCTAGTAGAAAAGCTTAGAGCCCAAAGAAGGGACTCAAAAAATGTAGCCCGAAGCTAATATGGCCGCACGTCACCTTTAGCCATCAGATTCTCAGTACAATGATATATCAGTATAATGATATATATATTCTATAATAATATAAATATATATATTCTATAATAATAATGGATGTAGGTCGAACTCGCTCGAACCATCAACAGAGTATGCTATCAGTGTGCATGATCACATGTGTATGTGAAACTGAAGACTTTCATTTATTTGTCTCCTTCTAATTCTTCTTCTGCGAGGGTTAATCGTATCACTCCCGAAACGACGCGCTTTAATGACCGCCATTCGAATAGCTCAACGCAAATCGCTAACACGAAGACGAGAGATGCATTAAACTCCAATGCCCTTGCTAACAGAGAGCGAGAGCCTAATAAAATATTAAAATCCTCTATTTTAACAAAAGAGCTAACCTAATATATATATAATATATTTCGTTTTTAAGCATAATTTGAACATTAATAGAGCTGGATACTTCAGATTTACTGTATATATAAATTTCATAAGTATATGATCACGATCTGAATAAAGCTTCATAAATATATAGTGTGTATGTGTATAAAAGAAGTTCAGTATGATTAGAATGTCTTTTCTTTGCAGGATTCAGAGTATTTTTTAATCGAGGAGTCTCGACTAGACCACTATTACTTGTTTCTCTTGTAGTGGAACTATCTTCATTAAACTTTCAGAATGTAATGACATTTAAGTGTGTAAACATTCCGAAGCACAAGTCACTACTATTTAATATACGAAGTGCTAGCGAAGGGGACGTGGTATCCAAAAGCTGAAAAAGCTTTATACGGACAGACGGAAAAGTTATGTACATTTTCACAGAACTTTTATACCCTGATTTCACCCTGATTTCAATGGGTTAAAAAAACGTTTCGTTGAAAACTAAATTCCCTCAGTGACCCGCACTGCATCCCATGCGGGTGGTTGTGCATATCCCCCATTAACAACGGTAAGTAGTAATTAGAACGTGAAAAATCTTTAAATTTACCATATATATATATCATATCGAAGACTATACAATATAGATTCTGATATATTCTGCATATCTATTTTGTATTATTCTCATTTTAATCTGCGGTCGACTCTTATGTTTATTTGGTTGAGCAAAAGTAGATCTGGCCCAATTCTTAATCCATTTAGAAACGTTCTGCAGTGATTGTTGTAAAATTACTTTAATCCATTGTGCACCCCGGCTCTACTTTTCAATCTTCATAGCACGCACTGTGGTCCGACCCTCGCTCCTTTTTTCTGTCTGCTTCTGCCTCTATCTTTCTGCCTATCTATTTTCTTGGATAATGTATCCGCCCTATTTGGGTCAGCAAAATTTGGTATTAGGATTAGTATTCTAAATTGTTACTATCTATTGTTTGACGTTCTAAAGGTTGGGAATTGTATTAAGGAACTAGGAAATAAAATGAAATAGAAGGACACAAAAAAAAAAAGAAAACAAGTAAGGAGTTCTTAGTCGAGAGTGCTCGACCAGGAGATACCCTGAATCCTTCAATCTGATATTCTAATCACTCTGCACTTCTTTAAAGCACACATGCATCCACACCAGCAATGCCAGATTTTGAAAAAAAATTCTAAAAAACAGGCTTAAAAAAAGCAAAAAAATAAATAGTTCATAAATATTAAATATCTAATTGTTATCTAATTGACAGTCTGAAGAAGTTGCATATTTATCGCTGCAACTTATAAGACTAATATATTTTTCTGGCAGTTCGTAATTATGGCAACATTTGCCATGACGGCCCAATCCATACTTACTTACACGGGCGACTACGCTTGGGCTGCGCTGCAGTGTTGGCAATTTTATGAGAATTTATTTGTTGAATAACTTAATTTTTAGAGGTACAAACTTAATGAAATTTTCAGAACGTTATCATAATGTTCAAATGTGTGTATATTCCGAAGCACAAGTATTTAAAATACGACTTTTACAAATATGAGGGTGAGGGGGTGGTATGAATTAACAAAAATCGAAATTGTATAAAATGCATCTTAATATTTTTTTTTTTTTAATTGGAGAATCTAGCTTTAAAGATGTAGAGGATATAATTTTATAACTGATTTTCGATGAAGTTTTATTATCGATCAAAATAACGGAATGAGTTATCGTTTTTTAGTGATAAACTCGATACCCGCGCGGTATATAGGGACATTCTAAAAAAATTGAAGTCTCTAGCTCTTATATCTTCGCGCTCATACATAGGGACAGACAGACGGACCGGTTTCGCTTATCCTCGATAAAAAAATATCGAATGAGTTATCGAAAAAAATATAAACTTGTACTGTTTATGGTATACACGAGTATGAATGCCAAATTTCAGCTCTCTAGCTCTTACGACTTCTGAGATCTAGGCGATTATACGGACGGACGGACGGACGGGCAGATGGACAGGGCTATATCGACTCAGCTCGTCGTCCTGAGCAAGAATATATATACTTTATGGGGTCTGCGATGATTCCTTCTGCCTGTTGCATACTTGTCACAAAACCATTATATCCTTTTCAATGGGATCAGGGTATAAAAATATGAGATGAAAAAGAAAGCGATGTTGCAAAAGAATTTAAGTTCCACTCATAAAAAACTGATTAAACTGCTTTTCTCCTTAAAAAAATGTTTGAAAAGTCTGAACAGCAGGATGCCCTTTGAAAAAGTCGCGTATAACAGAGTTTTCTTTAAGGAATAATTAATTTGAACATACATTACGAATATGTAAATATTTACAGTTAAATAAAAGCATTTGATAATTAAAAGTTTCTTATGTTCTCTCAATATTTCGAACCATTTAATAATTCAAACATGCGATAATTCGAAGTATTTAAGAGTCTCTTGAATTTCGAAACAACGAGAGTCGTTGTATATGTAATTGTAGATCAGACGGACAAGGCATAAAGCTATGTGTATAGAGTATATGCAGAAATGTACTTACGCTTGGAATATTATCACTATTGCATACTTGCTCCGAGAGTAGCCGGTCCCGAATTTCCCATGCAAATATACTTGGACACTCTCTTTTGTAATCTGCAATTTTTTGTACGACGGGCGTTGTGGCTACTCGGGGCTTTGACCCGCCTATAGCTCGAGGCTTAATTGATCCCGTTTCATAATATCTATAATTGGAATATCACAGGGAGAAAGAGAGTTATAATTACATGTTATGATTATCATACTCTAGCATTTCATCTCTATTATTGTTTGTTCTCTTTCAACAATTTTCAGATACATTTGAATAACGAAAAGTTGTAGAGTCAACGACTAAAAAAGTGCGAAGGTTCTATTACTTATTAAAACTAGCACATACTCTCAATTATTAAAACCGCGGGTTCGAGTGAATTTTATTCGAGCTGTCAGTTATCTAAACCCGCATTTGTCTCTTCGGCATGGGACAGTAGAATGGAGTAAGCCGTGGAGCAGATTCACTTTGTGTGGACTCTGGCTTAACTCTTGACCAAATCTAATTTTTTTGTTTGTTTCAAACATACTTTTTATATGAACAGTTAGTTCTTGTATCTGACAACATCCTTGTATCTAAAACAAACAAGAAAGCTCTAGTCGAGACTGCTCGAACACATAAAAGACAAAACAGAAGCACACGCATGCGCGTCGGCTGCAATGTGGGCTTACTTTTGTTGTAGATGGACCATTCCATAAAACTTTCAGACCGCCATAACATATAAATATAACTGATAAGAGGACCGCCGCAAGGTTTCGGGGTATCTGCCAATCGATTAAGCCAAACTAAAGGAGTATCTTTTCTTTTAAAATAATATCAAGTTTCGCAAGGATCATAAGGATGCTAGCTTCAGCCTTACATGGATATTATGTTTTGCCGATTAATAAAAAACTATTGGATATAAAATGAAGTTAGGACGAGCAGTGAAGAACTGTTTTTATTTGTATGTGGTTCTAAAGAGACATGATCGGCTACTCTCTCGTTACTGCGCGAATCTCTCACCTGCCCAAGATTTTGCTAACGCATCCGTTGGATACTTGGAGTATTCGAGATATATCACATGGACGTGCACCGGAATGAGCCAGCTCGACAATTTTTTGGCGTGTGGAATCGGGCAAGGGTCTGCCATTGACGTAAACGCCGCCCAGCTGATTGATGCCGCTGTGACCAGCTGTCGAGCAGCCAAATAGTGCACTTTGGCCCACACCGACGCCGACCGATGAATGCGGATGATGTCCGTGCATAATATGTTCCGTAGTCAACATCATTTTTATTATTACACAGTTATTTTATGTATTAACCAAGTGCAAGGGACTTGAAAGGCTTTGTAAGATTACCGTTGCACCGATTTATGTGTGATTCCGGTAAAAGCACTCAGCGTACTTGATTATTTTTACTTGATATTTATATATACTTGATGTGTGACTGTATACATGTACATATAATTATTAACTGACTTCGAACCTGAATGCATTAATTTCGTTGTCGAATTTTGAACTTCTACCCACACACATATATTTGACTCATATACTTCACTCTTTTATCTATATTACATATTCACAACAGTTGTATTTCGATTTGTCGGCGGGTTTGTTATAATTTTTCTGAAGTTTAGTGTGTGTGTGTGTGTGTTTTTTTTTTTTTTTTTTTTTTTTTTTTTTTTTTTTTT